TACATGTCATGCCTAAAACGATGTCTCTGAAACAACCCAAGAAAATGTGGACACTTGTGTCACCGTTTCTGAAGAGCTCTCAAATTGGGTTTTACTTAGAGGAATTGATTCTCTCTCTCTCTCTCTCTCTTTCTCTCTCTCTCTCTCTCTCTCTCTCTCTCTGTCATTGTTTTATGTTGGTATTTGGGACAGTTTTACTTAATGTGTCTGAAAAAGGTCTAGGTTATTTTATCACCATACAAACTCAGCTTTTTTTCCTTATTGGAAAATTAAACTTGAACTTTCCTCAAACTGCCCTCATATGTTTTTCCATTAATGTGTTACTTTCTAAATGATCACATAAAATCTTTACTTGTTTCCTCATTAGATCTTTGCAGTATCTTCCTTTTGTGAAACGCAGATGGAAGTACAAAACATATAGAAAGGCACAGTTATGATCCATTAAATACAAAATGCTGTCCACTGACCTCCTGCCTTGTTTTCTGGTGCCCTACTGGGCAAAAGCCCTTTCTCTGCTGCATGCTTGTCACTATTCGACTAGCTAACAAACAGGAGAAGAGGATTTTATGCCTCTTCGCATTAATTCACACACATCCAGTGGTGTCGTCACTCACTGCAGCCCTTTAGCAAATTAAGGACTAAATGATCATGAAATGTGAAAACTGACCTTGTGGTGGCCAAGATGCTCCATGATTGACAGTAACATGCAACAGTTAATTTAAGAAAGCAATAATAAACAAGAAAATGTCAGTTTTTCTCTATCTTGGATGAAAGGTAAGAATTTAACAAAGAAGGGGAGGGAAAGAAAGGCCTAGCTTTATGTAAAGGCAGGGAGAGGTTTTTTTTATCCTGCTTCACTTCAGACATGGAGATAATACTATACAGGCATCGGTGGGGATAAAGGATGCACAACCAATGACTGCTTTACATAAAGTGAATGGTTGGCAGACAAGTGAAACTAGTATCTCTGCCCTACAATGCAAACTCAGTGTTGATCGTCACACGTGTAAAAATAGCTTGAGATTTTCTGATGCGATTTATGAGGTAGATTTTCCTGTTTTCGGATGCAGTTCAGATTAGAGTGAATGGAAGGACTAGAGATGCCTCAAGCTGTGGCTGCTTGTCTAAAATGGCTCATCTGCTTCTTGATGTGATGAATTGTGACCAGGCACTTTAATCCGACCATCCGTGAGAGCTAGAGGAAGTTACCAGACTGTGACATAGTAGGAAAGTCTGATGGTTTGACTTTTAGATTCACAGCAGATTAATTTATTGTAGCTTTATCGATAGTTTGATGCTTTACTTTGGTGCAGAATAAGCAACAGAGCTGGAAGCATCGTTTAAAGATTAATTTTACTCATATGTTTAATACATTTGCAGTAGTCTCTAGTAGGAATAAATGTCTTGTAAGTCATTCTCAGGGTGGAAAAATGTTGCGGTGTGCCTGTTGCAAGAGCTAGAAGTGAGCCAGATCAGAGTTGAGCCTCAGACTTCAGTGTCGGGAGTCTTATTTCCTGATATTTGGACAATCTCGCCTCTGATTGGTAAACAGCAATGTGACTCACCACTGACTCTGTTTGCTCTGCAACGTTGATGTTCTATTCTATATAGGCTTAACACATTCAATTCAATTCAGTTTATCTATATGGCGCCAAATATCAACGTCGTCTCAAGGCACTTAAGCAAACATTCCAATAGAGTTCAGTTCACTAAACCAATCAGTAAAAAGTTTCTTGTATAAGGAACCCAGCAGATTGCATCGAGTCACTGACTGGTGTCAGTGTCTTTACAGCAATCCTCATACTAAGCAAGCATGTAGCAACAGTGGAGAGGAACACTCCCTTTTAGCAAAAAGAAACCTCCAGAGTATCAAGGCTCAGTATGGGCAGCCATCCGCCACGACTCACCCACACCCTCACAGGCCCACACCCCTGCCTGGGGCACACTGACAGAGGCGAGGCTTCCAAGCACAGGCGCCACCAGCAGGCAAAGAGAGTTAAGTGTCTTGCCCAAGGACACAGTAACAGCATTCTCTAGCGGGAGCCAGGATCGACAACCTACAACCTTCTTATTACTGGACAACCCACTCTACCTCCTGAGCTAACAAGTGAACTAGCAGTAGCACTTTCTTTGATTCAAGAAAGTTAAAAAGGTGAGGGAAAGTGTCTAATGATTAGCATCAGTGTGCCAGATGATGACCCTTCCATGAGGCCACCACAGCTGAGCTTCTTCTGAGGAGAAAAACACCCAGAGAGAAAATGAAGTTACCAAGTAATATTACAAGAAATAATGCAATTAGAGAGTAGTGGTGGAGGAAAGTAGCAGAGTGTTGAAAGTGGTCAGCATGTCCTCTGGCAATCTATGCCTACAGCAGCATACTGAGGGTAACCTAGCCTTTTAAATGGAGGCATGTGGAGGACCGCCTATAACTGAATTCTTGGCTGTAAGCACACACACACACACACACACACTCATTCAAACCTGGGCTAACATCAAAATTTAAACATAAGCTCTATCAAAGGGAAAAATGTTTTAAGCCTAGTCCTAAAAGTAGACAAGGTCTGTCTCATGGACTAAAGCTTGGAGCCGGTTCAACAGGAGAGGAGCCTGATAACTACAAGATCTTCTACCTGTATTTCCGACATTAGCAGTTGATAGAAAATGAGAAAAGCGAGTGACATTAGCCCATCATAATGTCAACTTAGCATTCATGAACTCACCCATCTTTGCTTGTGACAGGGACGGCTGTTGTTGATTTAGAGTCCACAAGAGAGCACAGCCGAAAGGTGAAGCGGTCGATTTACGTTCCTACTCTCACCTACAGTATGGTCATGAGTTTTGGGTAGTGACTGAAAGAACGAGATTGTGCATACGAGCATCTCCCTTAGAGATGGTGTGTGAAATTTGGTCATCCAGGAGGGAAGCCTCCCTGCTGAGGTTCTGGGCACGTTCAACTTGAAGGAGATGCAAAGGAAGACCCAGAATACGCTGGAGGGACTACATTTCTCTGGGAATGCCTTAGAATTGCCCTGGAGGAGCTGGCCCAAGTAGCTGGGGAGAGGGAAGTCTGGGCCTTTCTGCTTAGGCAGCTGTGACCCAACCTCTGGGTTAGCAGTAGAAAATGAATGGATGGAGAGAGAGGCACATCTTGGCTTGTGGAAGCTAACTATTAGGATTAGCAACTCCACAACATGGCAGAACTCCTCCAGGCCTGTATTTGTGGAGAGAAAAATACATCAATGTTGCAAAGCAAAGACAGTCAGCGGTAGAGTTCTGTTGCTGTTAACCAATCAGAGGTGAGTTGTAAGAATATCAGGAAATGACTCCAAACCCTGCTGTCTTCTGTTCACCTCTCTTCTGCTTCACTTCCAGTTCTGGAAACAGGAGCACCAGAGCATTTTTGATTCACATGGCATTCGTTTATGCTAGAGCACTGCAAATGTATTGAAAAAACAAGTGAAATTGGTCTTTAAAGATCATGCTGATGTCGTCATACATCTTTTAGAAAACATGTTTGACTTGGTAGGCAGTGATACAATAATTAATTTTAAACACATTAAAGTTAATAAATAAATAACCCATTGCACAAAATTAATTTGGCTTTAAGTGCATGGAGGAATGAGCACTTAATGAAACATAGATTCACATGATAACTCTTTCTCTGTCTCACAGGTCTTGCATGTCGGTGATTAAATATTCAGCCCTCTAATAGACAAACTTCTGTTGCTACTCCTTTGAAAGTATCTCTCTCAGACGCACACACACAAGCAACCACGCGCACACATATCTAGGTTCATAAATATCCATTCTCAGAAATCTTCAGAGACTCTAATGAGCTGGTGGCTGGCTGTTGGTTGTTTGGTGCATCACTGCAATGTGTGTCTGGGAGAGAAATGTCTTGAGCCTGCAGGGACAGTGTCCATCAGGTTGTGCATACCGATACATGCATATGGCATACTGAGTAAATTTCACTGCCCATAGAGGAAATCTGAATTGAACACTGACGTAGGCTGGGGCATTTCGATGGGAAAGTGCTCAAAAGGAGAAAATAACAATGACTTTTGTTGAGCTACATGGCTTAGCGGCTCCCATCCCATCACTCCTCAGAAGGATATGTACTATACAAAGAGTAATAACTTCCTTATTTCTTGATCTCATAAAAGCCCACAGATTAAAAGGGATTAAATTAAAGCTATAAATGCCGAGTCTCACAGGCCAAGATGGAATGAGGCCAGACGTTGTAGCTTGTGCTTCTCTGAAGCTGGTACTTTAACAGAAAATATACAATTTCTCCAGACAAATCAATCACATTGAATTGGTACGTGAATACGACCTGTATGTGAATCGTAGCAGTGTTTTTTATAAGGAAAATCATTCAATTGAAAGAGATTTCACTCACAGCAGCAAAAAGGTGAAAATAACACAGATTTTGTCATTTGGAGCCAAAGAATCAACTACAGTGAAAGAACGCAGATCAACCAGTGCAAAACTAAAGGGATTTTAAATCTGATGAACCCTTTTGAAAAAAAAAAAAGATTTCCTTTGGAAAGATTGTATTTAAAAATACATTGAACTAGTTTTACTATTCCATAGAAAATGAAACATTTTAAGCACATTTTAAATGTGTCGGCTAGCAGTGCCTACACCACGCTCAGGACAATCCAGACTCTTCTCATGCATCGTTCCACAAATGTGGAATGACCTTCCAAGCACTACCAGAACAGGGGCTTCCTTTTCAATTTTCAAGAAACTCCTGAAGACCCTGCTCTTCAGAGAGCATCTTCTAAACTAGCACCCTCCCTGCACCCATCCCCCTCTCTACCGTCCACTCCTTGTTCCCTCCTCTCCATGACTGATGTCAAGTTGTTGTTGTTATTGTTGTTGTTAGCCTCAAGGACAACATGCTGATTATCCCTTGTAAGTCACTTTGGACAAAAGCGTCTGCTAAATACATAAACATAAACATAAATAATCTGTCATCATGTCTGTTCCATCTTCAGGGCCTGGTGATAGAGCGAATTGGAAGAAAACCGCTTCTAATATTTGGTTTCTCATCCATGGCCGTCTTCTTCAGCCTGCTCACAGTTTTTCTAAATTTCCAGGTGAACCATTTATTCTTCAGCTTTGTTTTACATGAAGGGCACAGCCTTTTCAGGTGAACGTATTACAGCAGCAAACCGAAACATTATCTTTAGACTGTAACTTGAGTTATGTAACTGATTAGGTTAAAATTCCATTTAGCAAAACCTTCAGCAGCACTGAGAAAACTTGTCTTTGTCCCCAGAAGAGTATCTCACAATTATTGCAAACGAAAATTGAGTGTCTGGGTCTTTAACCTTTCATCCGTCTCATTCCAGGATAGTGTGTCATGGATGCCGTACCTCAGTTACATCTGTATATTAGCTGTGATTGCAGCCTTCTGTTCCGGGCCAGGTAATGTTACACTTTTTCTCTAAAGTTAACTTAAAAATATGCAAATATCTTGCACATATGTCTGCATTTCAGGGAGGTAGCTTGTTAAAGAATGTACGTCCCCATCTGTGTTTTAGACTAATCAGCAAACTGGTATGCCTCTGCTCTTCTCAGTGAAAGGTGTTGTCCTAGATTTGCATACTAAATAGGAGATACACAGTAATGTATGCACATGGCGCTGCAAAATGCACCTCGGACTGAGTGTGCACTTTGTGTCTCGGTGGCAGGTTGACTTTGTGTGTCAAGGTGAGACCATCGCTGTCCCCACGCTCATCGGTTAGGAATAATTATATCTCTGGGGAGTCTTTGTCCTGCAAAGTGCTTACACAATAAGATGAAGAAGCCTTTACCGTTGTCACAGATGGAGAGAAAAGTAAGATGTTTTTGTGGGATGTAGAGAGATGCTCGGAGAGCATTTCAACTATGGCAACTCACTTTAAAGGAGACCTAGAATCTAAACCAACATTTTCTTGCTGTTTGTGAACAAAGACAGCTTGCATGGTCAAAAGCAGCATGCCAAAAGTCAAAGCCATGTGTGACCTACTTTTTATGTAAATTGGAAAGTTGAAAACGGCAAGAGAAAAACTCCTTTTCTGAGCAAGCCTTCCCAGTAACATCACAAGGTAACCACTCCTGCTACAACTACATGTTCCAACCCACTTCAGCTATATTTAAACAGAGGGGTCGCAGCAATGTCACCGCAGAGCCACAGGAAGCTAGGCCTCTGTTAGCACCAGCTAGCTTCAGCTACCAACAGCTTGGTTGAAAAACAGAAAAACAAGCACTCACCACTCGGGTCCAGGATGTTCTGGTAAAATCCAGACTATAAAGGATTGTCAGACAGATCTACAGCTGGTGGTCCGATCCGGTACTGCAAGACTTCTACAAGCAACCTGTCTTTGCCACACAGTCTTTCTTGATTTACCACTTCAGCGTGGACTTCTTTTTTTTTTTTTTTTTTACAGAACATGTGCAGTGGTGCAAAAATATTAAATAATTCATATGTGGTGCTAATATTAGTTGTTTTTAAAGCCTTTTGTTAAAAGATCCATTAATCAATGTTATATAAGGCTTGAGTGGGAACTAACTGAGAAACCCTGACTATAGTTTTGTTTCTGCTTTCACTTGTCTCTCTTCAAACCCCTCAACACACACACACACACACACACACACACACACACACACACACACACACACACACACACACACACACACACACACACACACACACACACACACACACACACGCACACACACACACACTGAGCCCGTATCTCCCGCTCTGTTTTCCCCTCCCAGATTTTACCCTGAAATTCCAGCAATGGAAACACGCCAACTATTCAATTTAACTTGGTTCATGTATAAAAAGCTGAGAAAATGGTGCAAGCACAGGCCTGGAATATTTGGGACATCTCCAAAAAATAACCAGAGCTTTAGCTGACATATTCTAATATAGGACACCCCTGTTTGGATCTCCACCCCTTTAACTGTTGGTGTCTGATCATTAAGAGCTTTGCTTGTGTGCAAAACAGATGTGATCACTGTGAAACAAAAGAATGTTGATCATTTATGGTCCAATGAAACAAATGAAGGTTCTTACTGGGCGGGAGAGAGCGGAGTATTCTCCAGAGGGATGGCCCCATGTAGTGCTTTGAGCCTTTGAGTGGATGAATGAGGAGCCAGAGTTCCTCTGAAGTTGTTTCACCAAGGGACCAGTGGCCCAGATATTTCACAACTGTACCAAAAGACAAAGTTAATGTTTCCCCTTAGAGAGAAAAAGAAATTATGTTCTTGTTAGACACGTGGTGTGTTTGTCCCGATAATGTATCCTTTAAATGATCTTTAATTTGTGCTTTCGACCAGCCAGACTTTCTTTTGATTTTCTAGAATAATCCTTATGTTCCTGTTACCCAGTTCCACCTGTTTAGGTTTGTGAGGTTTGTCAGATGAATGGCTTTTGGGATAGAGGGAGTAATCCTCCACTGCTTCAGATCTTTAGGGGTTTTATTTTTTATTTTTTTTTTGTAGTCTGAAGCTTTGAGTTATTTTTCTGGCCTTTTACTCACAATTTATTGTTTACAGAGGCAGCGTTAGTCATTGTTCTTTTTAAGAGACTTTTTATTGATATTTGCATCCCAACTATGAAATAGATTCAGTCTCATATTTTGCATTTGAGCTTTCTCTGCGCTTCTTCTTCTTTTCTAGAGTTTATCTTTGTTACTTTGCCAGTTTCAATGAACATAATAGCTACTATATTTTCTGTATAAATATTTAGTATAAAACCAAAATAATTTTCTTCTAAAATGATTTGTTATTATTTATTTTTCTTCTACATATCAATTTAAAAAACATTTTTATAGCCACACTCCCTAAAAAGCTGATCATAAATAAGGTTCCTCTTTCACTCAAAAGTGGTTTTCCTCTTTTTTTTTATTTACAATGGCATTGTGGTAAAATGTCTGCCCTGGGACTGGGAGGGCTCAAAACCAGTTGAGTCATACCAAAGACTAAAAAATGGGACTCAATGCCTCCGTGCTTGACACTCTGCACAAAGGGGTTGGATTGGGGGATTAAACCACCAAATAGTTCCCGAGCGCAGCCATTGCTGCAGCTCACCGTTCCCCACGGGGATGGGTCAAATGCAGAGAGGTAATTTCCCCAACGTGTGAGGATGACTAAAAGGACTTTAACTTTAAAACTTTCTATACATAGGAAAAATACAGTTTTTAAATATGTTTGTACTATTTTACATAATTACTTATAAAACTGCTTTAAAGTTGGTTTTCTGAGGAATTAAATGTGTCTACCGTGGTAAAAATAACCTGATTCATGTTTCATTTATTCATAATGTGATTTTCCTCATAATCTCTTTATTTAACCAGGCAATGCAGAAATGTTAATCAATTTTTTTTAGCTTTTTAATTATTAACAAACTTGTTTCCCAATAGGAACACACCTCTTAGTCCTTTACTAGTGTTTTTTTTTATCACACTTTTATTCATTCTTATCACTAAATGTCATCTGCTGACATATTGCAGTGACCCTGATCCATGTCACTAAAAAAGGAACTTTATATTTTGCACTAAAATAAAAGAACAACACACAGTTCTGACGAAAGGACGAGTCATGCATCTGGTAATATGTTGTTTCTTTCAGCATCATGACCAGAGGCTTATTTGCACCTGCACATGATCCAGGATGGCCTCCCCTGGGAATGCTATTTTTGTAGAGCAATACTGCGGTTATCAAACTTGCACAATGTCAGCACAATATCCACAGTGCTTCAAAAAGTACTCTCACTAGCACTAACAACCATTTTAGCTGGGGTTTTGATTAGGGATGCATTATCGGACTACCAACATTATGGGCCAACATTGGCCTTAGAATGTAATATCAGTATTGGTTTTCACTCCTTTAGTGACCCTAGTTTTATGTAAGGTGCACATATTACACATATTAGGGGCAGCAGTAGCTCAACAAGTTGAGCAGGTTGTTCTGTAATCAGAAGGTTGCAGGTTCGATCCTGGCTCCGGACAGAGAATTCTGCTGTTGTGTCCTTGGGCAAGACACTTAACCCACCTTGCCTGCTGGTGGTGGTCGGAGGGACTTGTGGCGCCTGTGCTCAGCAGCCTCGCCTCTGTCAGTGAGCCCCAGGGCAGCTGTGGCTATTGTAACTCATCTCCATCAGTGTGTGAATATGTGTGTGAATGGATGAATGATACACTGTAGTGTAAAGCACTTTGGAGTCCTTACTCTGAGAGGCGCTATACAAGTGCAAGTCATTTATCATTATCATTTACACATCAAACTCTTCGGCTTCATCTCCTTTCTCTCAAAATGTCAAAATATGACTTCTCTGAGATTTAGTTTTTTAGACATTTGAGTTTTTATTTGGCACAATGAATAATTAGGAACAATTAGGAATTTGCCCTTTGTAGTGAGAATTCGCTGTCCTTAGAGCTCATAGCTATATGTAGCTAAGCTAGCAAAACTATTAAAACAAGCACAAGAATCTTTACCCAAGGCCTGATTTTCTTAAATGAGGATCTTTATAAATGTTTTATCATTGTAACTCTAATTTACAGAAACAGAAAAAGTACATTACTAACTATTACAGATGTCTTAGCGTTGCACTTTACAATTAGCCTAGCTTAGCAGGTGTACGCTCATGCTGCTTCCATTTTATAATCTAAGTAACTTTAACGGACACCCAAACATTCCCAAATCGATACTAACATAGACAAATGTTCTCCACGGCACAAACGCACAAAGCAAGATCTGCGTGTTCATAGTTGCCTAAATGTAAGATGTAAACACATGAAACAGAGGAAAAGGAGAGAGCGGTCACGCTGTCGCATTTCGTACTGACAATATAACAAATTGTTTGTATCTGCGATGTCTCACTTGGATCCATTTTCAAAACCCAAAACATTTTTACCTTTTTATCATTCATTTGTTGTGCTGTTTATTGACTTATTAATCAAACTTTTTGCCATCATGAACTCAATAATGATCTTTGGTCTTAAGACGTCACGGAGCGTTAGTCAGGATTATCTCATGGAGAATGTCATTCTGCTGGAGACAAATAAAAGATGAGTTTTTTTCTATTACTAACTTAAACTGAAGTAGTTGCAATTTTGCACGGGTAATGTTTAATGCTTAGGCATTCATGATAGGAGATGTTTGATGTTAACAACCTAAATGGTTTCCTTTTTCGGTAGGGGGGACCCTGCATATATTGGTGTCAGTTTATTTTGCTATTGGAAATTATTATTATTAAAGTTAGACAATATCGGATATTGGTAAAATGGCCAATATCAAGCACCTCTAATTTTTAAGCCCCCCCCCCCCCCCCCCCCCCCCCCACACACACACACACACACACACACATACACACACACACAAACCCAAATAATGTCAAAGTGCAGAAATGGGGATAAAGGAATGTTTTATTGCAAGAT